GGATAATGGTTGAAATTGATAAGCCTTGTGTTTGGGACTCAAGTCATTTTTCCATGAGATAATAATTTATATAAGGTTAAGTTTTTATATATGGCATGCCAGGTCACAAAACCTTTAATATCTTTGAACTTAATTCAGTCATACCAAGTCCAAAAGCTTTCAATGAAAACTTGCATTCCCACTGAGGCTCTGAAGTGTATCTCCCTGGGACCCCAGGCACTGGTTAGTTATGTACTGGCAAACACAGGCGCTAACTGGTGTCAGTCAGTCCCTTGAGTTTTGAATAGAAGGAAATCAGAAGCAGTTGCTGTTATACAAAGTAATAAAAGCACGTGTTGGAAATTTCAATCAGTATAAAAGAGTAAATTGCTTCTTAAACCCATACCATTTCTTCTCCCTGAACTGTTAATAGCTTATGTTTTCTTCTTTACAAATGGAGCTAAATTACACCTTGCTTTTCTGCTTAAGATTTTAGAAATCAGGTTTATACCCTGTTTAGGTGTACAGTTCTATGAATTTTAACAAATATATGCACGATAACATATGCATGATCAAGATATATAACATTTTTGTCCCTCCAAAAAGTTCCTTCCCACTGCTTCATTTTTTGTAACCACCACCATAATCAAGATATAAAGTCTGTCACTTAAACATTTCCTCTTTCAGTTCCAACCTCAATTTTAATAGTTGTATTGTATTCAGTTATATTGATGTACCTAAATTTTTCTAAATAGCCCCTCATTGATATAGATTGTTTCCAGTTTTATAATTCAAATAAGGTCCAATAAATACCTTTAAATATAAATCTTGGTGTGCTTTTTACAGCTGCAAACATATGGTAGATTCCTACCAGAGGGATTACAGAATTAAAGGCTGTAAGCATATAACATTTTGATTGGGCCAAAAGCCCCTGGAAAGTTGTGCTAATTTCCTTTTCAACCAGTTGTGTATAAAGTGTCTATAACTCATTAACAGAATCCTCCTGCCAATGCAGGAGACATGGGTTTGATCCCTGGGTCAGGAAGATCCCCTGGAGAAGGAGATGGCAACTCACTCCAGTATTCTTACCTGGGAAGTGCCATGGACAGAGGAGCCTGGAGAGCTAGTCTGTGGGATTGCAAAGAATCGAACACAACCTAGTGACTAAACTATATTAACACTGTCACCAAAATTAATTTTTGCCAATTTAATGGATAAGATATTACCTAGCAAAGTCGCTTGCATTTTTTTCCCCATTTTAAAAGCACATCAGAAAGTTCATACACGCAGAATCTACCCATGTTATTTATGACTTAAACCACAATATTTTAGGAATTGTAGATAGAAAAATCTTACCTTTATTCTCACAATTTCCCATATAATTTTCCTTTCCTTCTTATCTGTATGTACATTTTTATAATAATTATTTATGTGCATTTTTATAATCATCCTTACAGCATATGCACAGTTTGTGCATGTATTGTTTGCTTTTTAAAAGTCCACTTTATTTCATGAGCATTTTTCTTTGTTCCTAGAAGCTTCATTGCAGTTGTAGTATATTTCTTCTGTTTTGGGACTGTGGCACAGTTGATTTAGTCATTCCACTTATAAACTATTTTATACTTTTTTACTATTAACAAGGCTTCAAATACCATATTTTGAAAATAAGTTTGAAAAAATCCTTTAAAATTATTTTCTTGGGATAAATTTCTACTTGTTTGATTCTTCTGGATCTAAATGTGTCATATTGACAGGAGAGGGTAGAATTTCATTATTCGAAGTAGTTTTTGTCTCTTCATTGGGAATTCAGTAACTTTTTTTCCTGGAGAAGGAATCAGTTGTATATTAGTTTCCTTCTATGCCGGCTCAATTATTTATTTTCTTCTTTTTCATGAAAAATTATGAAAATGACTTATGCTACTTGTAAAGATTTCATAGAGGTAATCAATCCATTAAGTAAATTAAAATTTTAATTGAATTTTTTTTCTGAAGATCATTTGTTTTCAATATTTTCAAATTACCAAATAATATACAGTGAACTGTCCTTACCCTTGTTCTCTCAGTATCCAGTTCTCATTCTTTGTGGCAGTTAATATTATCAGATTCTTGAATAGTCTTTCAGACATATTTTATGCATTTTTGAGCAAATTTATGTGTGTCCTCTGTGTATGTTTGTGTCTCTCTATTTAAGCCACAAATGTCAGCAAGCTACACATACTTTTTGTACATATTCTCTTAGATTAGTTGTATTTATTTTTTTAAGTAGATAATATATGTACATTTTTCAAAGATAAAATAATTACATAGCCCCTCTTGTATTTCAGTACCCTGTCTGAAATACACCATCCTTTGGTGAGTCTTTCTGCACAGAAAAACAAATATTCAGTAGGAAGGTGCATATTTTTGTTTTCCTCTGTAACTGTCAAACTGGCCTTTCACATGTAATAAGGCAGTATGTAATAGGTGACAAGAGCAGTGGCTTGGGGGTCAGCTTGCTGCACTCATATATCTGCTCTGCTCATATATATCAAGTGTATAATTTGGGGCAAGTTAGTTAGCCTATCTGTGCTTTGTAATCAGATGTAAAATTATGACTCAGTGAGAAGGAAATGGCAACCTACTCCAGTATTCTTGCCTGGAGAATCCCATGGATGGAGGAGCCTGGTGGGCTACAGTCAGTGGGATCAGAGAGAGTTGGATACGACTGAAGTGACTGAGCAATACATACTTTGCTTAGAATAGTACCACACACATAAGGAGTATATGTGTTTGCTAGTGGTATTATTTTTATTATTAGGGACAGTGACCAATAAAATAATATTCAATCAGTCCAGATCAATTTGACTTATATTAGTTATATATATGAATATGAGTAAGTTCATTTAAAAAAAAAGGATGAATGGGATTTCTCACTTGTTTGAATTCTATTTAAATATTTTAGAAAACTTCCAAAAACAAAAGTAAAGCAACTAAAATATACTTTGCTGTTCCTTTCTTATGGGTTGATAGGGTTTTTTTGTTTTTTGGGTTTTTTTTTGGTTTGTTTTTGCATATACATTTTTTAACAGATATACTTTCTTTATGTAGTAAAAGTGTCTTAGAGAAAGTGAGGTAGAGGTGACTGCTGAGAATATGAACTTTTTTTGCACAGTGCATCACATTTTAAAAAATGCTTTTTCATGTGCTTTCTACTCAAATTTGGTAAAAATACATATCTATACAATATTTAATTTTAGGTGATAGTGACCCATAAAGTTTTGAAATTCTCTGGCCATATCTTTTAAGGATAAAATTGTTAATGACATTTAAAGTTCTTAAGGCAAACAAGGGTCTGGGAGCTTGAATTATATTTCTATCCAATTTTTCCATCCTCAGTTCTTAATAAAAAAAATTAAGGGAACAACAAAACCTCTTTTCCTTTTCTGTTTGTTGGTTACAAAATAATATATATTTATTGTAGGAAATATAAAAGCAGAAGACAGAGAAATAATTACCTTGAAATTACTATTCAGTTTAATATTGTAACAGCTTGGTATCTAGGCTTCTTGCCTTTTTTCTCTATGTAGTTGTGCACACAGAGTCCCTCATGTTATTAATTTGTTTGCCTTCTACAGTGATGGCATCAGGAATGCTATACACAGTTTTTTTTTTTTTAAATAAACTTAGTATCATGATCATTTTAACCATGCTGTTATCTATAAAATCATTTATAATAGGTGTATCATATTCCATTGAGCACATATGCCATACTGAAATTTAATTTGTAGTATATTTCCTACTCAAGAGCATTTAAAAATAAACTGTATCATTAAACATCCTTACAAATCAAATTTTATGGACACACATTATATTCTTAGGATCATTTCTGAGACATGGAGTTATTGGTTGTAGGACATACACTTTTTTCATGCTTTTTCATACACATTGCCAAATTGCTCTCCAGATAGTTGGTATCTTCCGAGTGCTTGCTAGCACAGGGATGGTCTCTAGTTAAGTCCTTGCCTATATGAGGTGCGAATTCCCTTTCTGCATGGTGTATATTCACTCTCCAGTGCCTCTAGAACCATCTCTTCTTCCTTCCTTTCCAATTTTTCTGTTCTTCTGTAGCCTTCCTCCTTCCCACTTCATAGAAGCCGGATTTGATCCAGGTTAGAGAAGGAGCTATTTCAAATGCTGTTTACCTCTCTCCACTTGCTTCTTAGGGCATTTGCTATATAAAATACTCTTGAGGCTCTTTTTCTATAGCAACCAAGTTTTCAAAAATCATGCTCATGTTTTTTTTCAGTTTGTAAATTCTGATTTTTGCTTTAGTGATTTTTAGTCTATTACACTTGTGAAGTAACCACAGTGGTTAAGAGAACTACTATCCCTAATTCAGGAGACTGGGTTCAGGTTCCGGCTCCTGTTCTTATTGAGAAGAACAGCTTTCCTCAGGTTTTTGTGAGGATTTAAAGAAGTGATGCTTGTAAGTGCTTCATACACTGCCTATCATATAGTGAGCACTTGATTGTCTAGCTTTTATTATCATCTCATCTGACATAAGTGTGAGTAAAGCAGGGATTATTTTTCTCATTCTATATTTCAGGAAATGGGATCAGAAAGATGGAATGCTTTTCCTGTTGTCACGTCTAGAAAGTGATGATGTCTGGATTTATAACTTTTGATCTGTAGGGACTGCTGCAAGTGGGAAAGCTAAAGTGAACAAGAGTTGTTTCTAATTATTAGGATAATACATAGAAGATCATGAAAAGTTTGAAAAGCTTTATATACAGGGGCCTGAGAGGTAAAGCTTCCAAAAAAGTCTTGACTGGCCTACCAGCAAGTAGGTGAGAATAGTTCAGAAGAGAAATGGTGCCTGTGCATTGTGGCATAGAAGGGGAGGTTGCATTTTAAAGTTTAAGAAGGCTGAGCACTAGGATCAAAACATTTAATAGATGTCTCTACTTTGGTTTAAATTAGAATGGAGTCCTGTTTTAAATATCTATGCTGATTAGGTTTTTATCTTAACTTGTTTCCGACAGGGCACGGTGCTGATGTGAAGTGTGTAGACTGGCATCCAACAAAAGGGTTAGTTGTTTCAGGAAGTAAAGATAGTCAACAGCCAATCAAGTTCTGGGATCCCAAGACTGGGCAGAGTCTTGCAACACTGTAAGTGATAGGAACCCCACCTTGATCCTTAAAAAAAGGAGAGCAAAGCTGACTGAATTGTTAACTATTAGCCTTCCTTCCTCTCATGTATTCCTGAAAAAGTAGTGTAGACAATAGATGGACTCTTATCTATAGGCCTTTTATTTATTAAATGTGATTTCTTTCTAAATTCCTCATAAAGTCAGGCTTAATGTTTGTTCTCCCATATACATGTAAATTTAATTTGGGTATCGTGGGGTAAGGGATAGGGAGGAGGTGGTTATTACTACTACTCTAGATTACTCGTAATATTGATACACTTGGCACTGTATGGAGTTGATATGTGTGCCACGTGTTAGACAGCCCACCTTTCTCCTTCTCACTACAGCTCTTCAGAGAGAGAAGTTTTCCCTCCATTTTAAAATCAGCTCTCATTTTTTTTGTCTGAGGTATTTAGTTACAATAAAGCCATATCATAAAATTTTCTCTTTGACTCATCTGTGAACATTCACAGTTCGTGTAATATGTTGTTGATTTTTTTTTCCTCCCCTACTAAGCAGCTGTTTCCTAGTCCCTCTGATTGAGAACTGAGCCATGTCCAGAGTGAGCTGGTTGGCAGCAAGGCTGCCTTGTCGCACAGCTCCAGTGGCCACAAACAAACAGAACACCTTGTGAATGGTGCTCCTAGGAGATGTGTATTGTGCAGGCCTCAGCAGTTGCAGAGTCTTTAGTTAAAATTAACCCTCAAACTATCTCAAGTTCTTTTTTAATGTTTGACTTAATAAGAGCAGCTTATTGAATTTCTAAAATTTAATGAGCTTTATTGAATATTAATTTATGTGTTCAAGTGCTTTCCTTGCTTCACAGATAAAGTTTTCTACCCAGTTGAAGTTCTGCTGCTGTTTTAAATTGGTCAGTAAAAACTGCTTAGATAATGGAAATTATTTTTCTCTTTGACCTATTTCTTTCATGTATATTTTAACTGTAGTCCTGTAATGTTACATGCTTTATTACTTCTAGGCCAATCTTCTTGCCAACTTGACTACCATGTACTTTTCAAGAAAAATAAATGACCATTGATTTAGACTTGTTTTGAATTCTGACCCAGAATTATTTTCTTGGTTCTTTGTTTCTAGTCATGCCCATAAAAACACAGTAATGGAAGTGAAATTAAATCTCAATGGCAACTGGCTACTCACAGCATCACGTGACCACCTCTGTAAACTTTTCGACATCCGAAATCTGAAAGAAGAGCTTCAAGTCTTCCGAGGTCATAAGAAAGAAGCTACAGGTCAGTGACTATGATATGCTTCTCATTCTATTACTGTAGAATTCTGACATCTTAATAATTTTGTCTTTCTCTATGTTTTTGTTTACAGCTGTGGCCTGGCATCCTGTTCATGAAGGACTTTTTGCCAGTGGAGGGTCTGATGGCTCTTTGTTATTTTGGCATGTTGGGTATGTGGCACTTACTATGTAAAGAAGTTGTAAATTGTATGAAGACCACACCCAAAAGTGAAAACAATGATAGTGTGTTGTATTTTTTTCTGAATGTTCATATGTCCTGTATCTGTAAACCCAGCTTGGAATAGAAAGCGTAGCGCCTCTCTTTTTGGCTACGGAAGTCTTATAAAGGGAGAGGAAGACCGACCTCCTTGTGTCCTGTGGTAGTGTAATTTCTAAGGCCTTCCCCCCTGAGGTGCTCTTTGGAAAACTGTTACTGATCACAGCTGGTACCTCTGAAACCTGTGGAATTGACCAGATTCAAAGTTACCAAGTTTGGTAGCTTTGTATTACACTAAAAGAAAGTACCTTCTTTGGCGGAGGAGAAGCTGAATGACTTCTGTGAAAAAGACCGCTTTCTGTGGTGCCCTTACAGAGTAGAGAAAGAAGTGGGTGGAATGGAGATGGCCCATGAAGGAATGATCTGGAGTCTGGCTTGGCATCCCCTTGGACATATTCTCTGCTCAGGCTCAAATGACCATACTAGGTAAGCTCTGTGTCAGAAATAACAAGGAATTGCTGTGTTTATGGAGCAGCTGGAGATAAATGTATATTTAGTTTATTCATAGATGAATGTATTTATTTATTTTCTAACTTACTTTTAAGGACATGTTTGCAGTGGTTTATAAATAATATATTACAAGGAGATTGAGTATTGAATATGACTTTGTTATTTGAGGTTTGTTTTGCCTTCTAATTAAAAAAAATCTACATTAAAAATTTTTAGAATAAGGCATTTTAAAACTCTGTTGTTTTTGCCAGAAGACTGCTTAGTATTGTTAAGTGCCCAGAGATACACTAAAACTCTGCTTCTCTCCTCCTCCCTCCAAATACTTTTACTTTGACAGCAAATTTTGGACCCGAAACCGACCAGGTGATAAAATGCGAGATCGATACAACCTCAACCTGTTACCTGGAATGTCTGAAGATGGAGTGGAATATGGTGAGGTTCTTGCATGTTTATTCTTCTTTGAAATATGATAATCTGTAGTAAAAATGTTAAGTATTGAGAAGGTTATGTAAAATGAATTTTAGTTTTATAGTTTATTGATTTATGAACCTCTAACAATAATTTTTATAAAGTGTTAATTTTATTGGCCCACTACATTTGTGAAATCTCTATTGACAATGGCTATATTCCTATTTATAGATGACCTTGAACCTAATAGTCTGGCAGTAATTCCAGGGATGGGCATACCAGAACAACTGAAATTAGCTATGGAACAAGAACAGATGGGTAAGAGAAGTTGTACCTAAACTTTTTCTGTAATTTTACTTGTTTCCTGTAATTGTGATATTAAGTTATTTTAAAAATGTCAAAATGATGTATGTTGAGAAACATTGATAAAAGTGATATAAGCTGTATAATATTTAGAATTTGTTCTTTCAAAAATACATTCACTGATGAGATGGCCACTTTCTTTCATTTCCTTCACTAACTGCTTCTCTTGGTTACAGGGAAAGATGAGTCAAATGAAATTGAAATGACAATTCCAGGTTTAGATTGGGGAATGGAGGAGGTGATGCAAAAGGATCAGAAAAAAGTGCCTCAGAAGAAGGTTCCATATGCAAAGCCCATCCCTGCTCAGTTCCAGCAGGTGAGGAAGTCCACGTGCACCCTCATCCCTTCTCCGTGCCCTCCTCATGCGCGGGGAACTAGTGAGTCTCGCTGAGGTGCAGGCATAGGTTTCCCTTGTATTATCTCATCTCTTGAAAGTATGTCTGGCTGTCCTATAGACTTTCTGGAGCTTTCTTCACACATTTCAGGCATTATTAGACATAGTCTCCATCTGCTGCTTTGCAGTTAGTGCTGAGTTTGTCATGAATCTTCTCTGGATATTCTTTTATCCTCACCTCCTTATTATTATCCAAGTTATTGGAAGAAGATAAGAGACTTGGAGTGGAAAGAATATGTTGACCCTCTTCAACATATTTTTTCTGTCTTCCACTTTGTTCCCTCACACAATGTGCAAAAGTGCACATGCCCTTTTGAAGAGGCAGGCAGGCTTTGCATCTTAAGTGAAATCTTGCAGCTTTTTCAGCTTAGCAATTTCTACGTAGTAATGTGCTTTGCCTAACTCTATTCCTGTGTCGCTAAGAATTAGAGAATTAGAGTTAGAAATAAAGATAATTCACCAGCTGCATCAACTTGTATTCACCAGGTTGGAATGAGCCCGTGATATTATAGAATGGTTTTCTCATTCTGTCTTTATAATTTACACACTTAGGGTATACTTTAATGTTCTCTTCATTCCCAAGGCATGGATGCAAAACAAAGTTCCAATTCCTGCCCCAAACGAGGTATTGAATGACAGAAAAGAAGACATTAAATTGGAAGAGAAGAAAAAAACACAAGCAGAAATTGAACAAGAGATGGCCACATTACAGTATACTAACCCACAACTTCTGGAGGTGTGTGACACTTTTGAGGGAATTCAAGATGATCTAAGAAAGTAGTGCTTAATGTTTTTGTATTGATATGCTCTGAGGAGAAGGAAAGGAACTCTCACATGGGTCAGATGAGCAGTATCATTTCTTATTGCTACATCAGGAAGCTAGTTTCTAGCAGAATCCTGTTTCTAAGACTTTTAAAACCAGACCAGTCAAGCAATGAGTAGACCTCAGCTGAACATACATTTTTAATAGACAAGGTAAAACCAACAGTTTTAATTTGGATTCACATATTTATCCATAGATAAAAAGAATTTTCTATTAGCTTTAGAGCAGGTGGTTTGTTCTTATTTTTCCTACCTTGATAGCTACTTAGAATGATAAAACACTAGTAAATTGTTGGGATTTCCCTGATCAAGATGGATATAAATAGTCCTGGCTGCTGTTTCCCAGCACCTGGAAAGAAGCATTTTAGAGTCTAGAAGCTTGAGTACCTTCAGAACATCTGAATATCATATGGATTTTAATTATTGTTGGGGCATTAAGAGGTCAATCAGTAATGTCTTATGTTTGTTTTGAGATTCCCCAAGCAAAGTAAGTGATAGTAATAATATCATATTTATTAGCATGCTTTTCCTCTGTTTCTTTCTAGCAACTTAAAATTGAAAGACTTGCACAGAAACAGGCTGAGCAGATTCAGCCTCCTCCTTCATCTGGCACCCCTCTCCTGGGACCCCAGCCCTTTCCAGGACAAGGTCCAATGTCTCAGATTCCTCAAGGTTTTCAACAGCCTCATCCATCTCAGCAGCTGTCAATGAACATGGCTCAAATGGGGCCTCCAGGTCCACAGGGACAGTTTAGACCCCCTGGACCACAGGGACAAATGGGACCACAAGGCCCTCCACTGCATCAGGGAGGTGGGGGGCCGCAAGGATTCATGGGACCACAAGGACCCCAGGGACCGCCCCAGGGGTTGCCGAGGCCTCAGGACATGCATGGGCCCCAGGGAATACAAAGGCATCCCGGACCTCATGGCCCTCTGGGACCTCAAGGACCACCTGGACCCCAGGGTAATGCTGGTCCTCAAGGTCATTTGGGTCCTCAGGGCCCACCTGGCCCACAAGGTCACATAGGCCCCCAAGGCCCACCTGGTCCCCAGGGTCACTTGGGCCCTCAGGGACCTCCTGGTACTCCAGGTATGCAGGGACCACCTGGTCCCAGAGGAATGCAAGGACCTCCCCATCCTCACGGGATACAAGGTGGGCCAGGGTCTCAAGGGATCCAAGGTCCTGTGTCTCAGGGACCTCTGATGGGATTGAATCCAAGAGGAATGCAGGGTCCTCCAGGCCCCCGAGAGAACCAGGGTCCTGCTCCCCAAGGGATGATGCTGGGTCACCCGCCTCAAGAGATGAGAGGACCTCATCCTCCAAGTGGACTGCTGGGACATGGCCCTCAGGAGATGCGAGGTCCTCAGGAGATGCGAGGCATGCAGGGCCCTCCACCCCAAGGATCGATGCTGGGCCCTCCCCAGGAATTGAGGGGGCCTCCAGGCTCACAAGGTCAGCAGGGGCCGCCCCAGGGCTCTTTGGGACCTCCACCCCAGGGTGGCATGCAAGGGCCCCCTGGACCTCAGGGACAGCAGAACCCGGCAAGAGGGCCACATCCATCTCAAGGGCCAATACCATTCCAGCAGCAGAAAACAGCTCTGCTAGGTGATGGGCCCCGGGCCCCCTTCAACCAGGNGCTGGGAACCAAGGAGGGAAAACACTCTCAGTAAAAGACTGCATTCTGAAATTTTAAGATGCTGAAAATCAGACCTATGTTGACAGGATTCCTGGAAGACAAGGTAAACATCAGTTTTGTTTCCTTTAGGTGATTCGCGCGGCCCTCCAAACCATCACATGGGCCCAATGTCAGAGAGGCGGCACGAGCAGAGCAGCGGCCCCGAGCACGGTCCCGAGAGGGGGCCTTTCCGGGGCAGCCAGGACTGCAGGGGTCCCCCTGATAGGCGCGGCCCTCACCCCGAATTCCCCGATGACTTCAGCAGACCAGACGACTTCCACCCCGACAAGCGCTTTGGCCACCGGTTACGTGAATTTGAGGGGCGAGGAGGCCCTTTACCACAAGAAGAGAAGTGGAGGCGTGGGGGTCCTGGGCCTCCGTTCCCCCCTGACCACAGGGAGTTCAGTGAGGGGGATGCCCGGGGTGCAGCCCGGGGCCCCCCAGGGGCGTGGGAAGGCCGCAGACCTGGAGACGACCGCTTCCCCCGGGACCCTGAGGACCCGCGGTTCCGAGGGCGCAGAGAAGAAAGGTGGGCCAGACGCTGTATGGGTCCATGTCCTCCTCCCTGGAGCTTCCCATCTGTTCTGTCCATATGGATCTCTTTCCTCCTTCACTGGGGAGAGAGTGCCCTCCCCTCTCTAGGTTTTGTGTTTAGACCTAATATAATATGCCTTTTAACATCTATGTGGTTCTCTATTATCTCTGCAGTTTAGAAATCATTCTCTATTTGCTTATTTCTTGGTCATTTTAAACAGATAGGTGGGCCTGTGTACTGTAAAGTTTCTTGGGTTTGAATAGAAATCTCCAGGTTCTCTTGGTTGGAATGATGAAATATGAGACAGAAATCTAGATAGAGAATAAAGGAATTATTGAGTAGATAGTTCTTGTGTAATTGCTTAAAGATCTTAACAAAACCCAATCAAGCTGAAGAATAATCGTGTTGTTCAAATAGGTTGAGGTCAGGCTTGGACACTTGACTTGTTTGGGGTAAAAAAATGAATAGAAGAAGTAGGGAGTAAAAAACAACAATTAGTGAAATCTCAAGTGAGACTCAAAATAATCAATGATGATAATTGAGTATTTACTGTGTGCCAGATGTTACTTCATTCAACTGTTGGAGTGAGTTGTGAGTTTAGGTGTTACTCTCAGCCTGTACAGGTGAGGGATGCCACTTAGAGAGCAGTTTCTTGACCTTGGAAGGGTCCACGGATGGTGCATGTAAGGGCAGCTCCTGCTCTGGCCATCCAGTTGCAGAGCCCGTGCTGTGCTGCCCAGCACCCCTATCCTCCTGCCACAGTCGTCTCTCCCATGTCTTTTCTCATCATGCTATTCTTGCTAGTAGGTAACTGAGATAAAGGTTGATGATCTCTGTTCTCATGGGTATGTTAGAAGAGTGGCTGATAAAACATCCAGGGAGGGTGAAAGGGAGGGTCAAGGGAAGCAGCTCTCAGAGGGGAGTTTTTAATAAAAAGATTTAAGAGCTCACTAAATGATATCCAAGTATTCACTCTTTGAAGTGGCCTTTTATGTCTGCAGGAGCCCCATTTCCAGTGGCTTTGGCACCAACATAACTTTCATGATTTCTTGAATCTCTGTGTCTGTGCAGTTTCAGATTTTACTCTGTTTGAGTTTGTGTTATATTTCATCCGTCAGTGACAGACCCACACCTAGACACTTGTGCTGTTCACAGTTTGTATTCCTGACATGCCAAACATGTCCTGCTCATGTTGCACTTGCTTTTCCTTTCATCAGGAGTACAGTCTCCTGGGTGTTTGTGGCTCACTGCACTTGGATCTTTCCTCCTGTCCCTTTGCTCTGCTTTATGTTCCTTCAGAGCACTTAGCAGTCCTTGACATTTAGTGATATATTTATTGGTGTATTACTTGTATCTCCCAGAAGTCTGACATATTGCTGAAGGGAGGTCCTCAGAACCTAGAGCGGTAGTGGTGACACCCTGTGGGTGCTCAGTAACTGCTGAATAAATGAATCTGTTACAGAGGGAGATATATTTTAGAAGCGTCAGCTCGTTAGGAGATACACTACTCAACTAACAAATATCGACTGAGGCGTTTCAACAACAGAAATTGATTTTTCTCACAGTCTTGGAGGCTAGAAGTCCCAAATCAAGGCCTAGCAGTGTAGATTTCTGGTGAGATTTTTCTTCCTGGCTTGCAGACAGGCACCATCTCCCCTTGCCCTTGCATGATGGAAAGAGACTGAGCAAGCTCTTTGTGGTATTTCTTCTTATTAGAGCATATATTCTGTCATGGGGCCCCACCTACAGAGCCTCATCTAACCTAAATAGCTCTCAGAGGTCCATTTCCAAAGTCACTTTGGGGGACAGATCTTCAGCATAGGAATTTGGTGGCGGGGACAAAAAAAAACGTTTAGTCTGTAACAGGAACTATTTTCTAACTAGGGCAGATTAGAGTCCCTCTGTCCTTCTGTCGCCAGGGCAGTTGTACAACTTGCCTGGGCAAGGGAAGAGTCCTGCCCTGTGTGGGGACCGCTCCCGAAATCTGCCTTGGGGAGGAGCGCCCTCTGCTGACACTCCTGCTCCACTTCCCTCCCCTTCTCAATTGCACCCTCACCCTCTGGTTAATTCCCAGCATCTGGAGTACCCCTCCTTGGCTTGCAGGAGCATGGCTCATTAACTTACAAAACAGGTGTTAAGAAGGTACCTAGATAGTTGGAATGGTGGAGTGAAAAAAGGAAAGCTCTTTTTACAGTAAAACAGCAAGTTACAGATGTAGACTTATAAAATCACTTATTTTAAGCAACCAGTGTCATAATTAATTCAGGCAAGGATCATCAGCGGATGTAGAAAGCCATCGAGTAAAAGGATTGTGGAGAATCAGTGTATTTTCACACTGCCCAGGTATCACTCCATGGATTACTTAATTGCAAAGGAGAAAATGGACCTTTACAACAATGACATTTGGTTGCCATATCACTTTTACATCCTAAACAGTGAGACAGACTGGCATCACTGTGAAGGTATAAGAAGTTTTACCAGAAATGTTTTACCTGAATCTAATCATGGGAAAATCAGAAGAATTCACATTGTGGAATGTTATGTAAAACCCCTGTATGGACCCTTCAAAAATGTCAAGCTCTAGTCCAATAAAAATTAAAAAGTCAAGGTCACAAAAGATAAAACACAAGAGGGGGACTGTTCTAGATTAAAGTAGACCGAAGCGATGGGACCACTAAATAACAGTGTATGATTGAAAACTATAAAGACAACTGTAAAGGACATTTTGAGGACAGAGAAATTAAAATTGGATTGTGTATTAAATACCATTACATGTTATTTAGAATGATAGTAGTGTTGTTATATAGGAGAAAGTCTGTATTCTTAGAAGAAATCTACTGAAGGATGAAGGGGTGAAGCATTATGTCACAGCTGGTTTTGAAAAGGCTTAGAAAGTGAATTAGTAAATAGATAGTGAAAAGACAAGGTTTGTGTGGCAGAATCTTAAGAACTGATTATGGGCATTTGTTGCTCTATATGTTCATCTTTACATTTGAAATTTTTCAAAATGTTGGAGTATAAGATAAACAAATGGAAACTCAGGAAAAAGCAGAAGGCCTGGTGGGCCCTAAGCCCTTGCCCCTCTCTGATCCTTTCTCCAGTGTCCGTGGCCTCTCTTGGTTGCTCACACACCTTTCCTACTGGCAGGCCCCTCTTTCTGCTTCCTCACAGGCTTCTGCTGCAGCTCTGGCACACCTCATTAGCGGTCCTGCTTCAGTATCACTCCAGGCCCACTTAGTTTCCCAATTCCAGAATTCTTGAGAGGTGGTGAAATGGTCCACTAGCCCAGGCATGAGATTGTCAGCTTGGCAGTGGTGAGCTACTCACAAACCAGATGCCTTCCCGTCCATCAGTCAGCTGTGGCTGGGGCCATTGGTGCAGTTTATGGCCCCTAGGCCTGCCCCTGAGTAGAGAGATGGGCCAGGGCAGATGGCAGAACAGATGCCCCCAAACAAGTCAAGTACAGTGAGTAGGCATGATCTCTGCCCCCCCCCCACCTTTTCTGATTATGTAAGTCATGTTTATACATAAAGATGTGAGTGGTAAAATGAAAAATATTTGGGAGGCAGTGGTAAAGAACCTGTACTGAGTGTCAAGACTGGTTGAGTTCACATCCCAGCACTTAACCGTGTGTTCTTAAGTAAGTGACTTAACTTCTCTGAGTCCTATGTAAATACACATGGGTAGAATAGAGTCACTTTCATAAAGTGGTGGTGAGGATAAAACAAATGAAATAATACACTGTAAAGCACTTGGCATGAGATAAGCACTTTAAAAATGCTCACTGTTACTATTCCTAAAAGCCTGAAAACCCCACATTGTAGTACATTTCCCTCTTGCCCATTTTTACCTGCCATATTATAAAATGGGTACTTTTAAAAAAAATACATAATTTTGTTTTGTTTTTCTCCCATTCAACATTGTATCATATTTCCTCACATAATTAGGCTTCTTTGAAACATGAACTTGGAGCTACAAGGTATTCCATTAGATGGATATTCTGTTGTTTTTTCCTAACAGCTTTAGACGAGGAGCACCCCCAAGACATGAGGGCCGTGCTCCCCCCAGAGGAAGAGATGGCTTTCCTGGGCCCGAAGACTTTGGACCAGAGGAGAATTTTGATGCTTCTGATGAAACAGCCCGAGGAAGAGATCTCAGAGGTCGAGGTCGGGGTACCCCACGAGGTAAGCTGAAAACCATGGGTCTAGGAAGGACAGGGATGAAGAGTTAGGTTGCTGTGAGCACACCTGGAATAGTCTGCGAGTGTTGTGGTGTTTTGTTTCATTGTGTAGGAGGAAGGAAGGGTTTGCTTCCCACTCCTGATGAGTTCCCTCGCTTTGAAGGAGGACGGAAACCAGATTCCTGGGATGGAAATAGAGAGCCAGGTAAGGCAGTAGAGCTGCTTGTGCTTAGGGGTCCTCTGACTGACAGTTCTCAGAGTGAGGTCTGAGGACTCTCCTAGGGGTCCACTGGGTTCTCTCTTCAGCAACTCACCTTTCCCTGGGAGGCTGGGTTGTCTTCGTATCTTCAACCCACAGTGTGAACCGAATGCAGGAGCAGGTGGGGGAATCCAGCTTTCTCCTGCTGAGCCAGATATTAAAGAGATTTGTCAAAATGCCACTCTTTTCACTAAACAGTTTTGTTTATGGAAAATATAGTTAAATGAACTAAAGTTTTCTCAGTCTTAATTTCTAACATGGCAGATGTTGTTAGAACTCTCATGATGAAATCTCTTTGGGGTCTTCAATAATTTTTAAGAGTGTGAAGACATTCTGAAACTAAAGAATCTGAGAACCACTTTTCTGGACCTTACCAACTCTTGTTTTAGGGGGTATGTTGATCCCTAATCTTGACCTTTCTGTGTGCTTGTGATGTCACTGGCCTATGGCGGGTATTTAGGAAATGTTTCTTGCATGAATGAATATTCCTTTTCAAGTTGCTACTTAACAGTATAATTTGTCTTCTTTAGGTCACATTGTACTTTAATATGGGGTTCCCCAGTGGCTCAGCAGTGCAGAATCCACCTGCAATGCAGGCAATCTGGGTCGATCCTGGGTCGGGCAGATTCCCTGGAGAAGGTTATGGCTACCCACTCCAGTATTCTTGCTTGGAGAATCCTATTGATAGAGGAGCCTGGCAGGCTACAGTCCATGGGGTCACAAAGAGTTGGACATGACTGAGCAGCTGAACATGCATGAACATACTTAAATACAATGAGATTGTCAGATTCTTAGCCTTGTGAATCTGTGCTTCCCATTTTAGGGCCAGGACATGAACATTTCCGTGATGCTCCCCGCCCTGATCACCCCCCTCACGATGGTCATTCCCCAGCTAGCAGAGAACGGTCCTCTTCTCTCCAAGGCATGGACATGGCATCTCTACCACCCCGAAAGCGCCCCTGGCATGATGGGCCAGGAACCTCTGAGCACAGAGAAATGGATGCTCCAGGAGGTCCTTCTGAGGATCGAGGAGGCAAAGGTAAGTGAGGCTGGTGATTATGGCTTGGGAGCTGTGGGTGCTACAGCCCTGCCAAGAAGGCTTCAGAGTTACCGGAGGCCCCATCCCAGTGTATGCCTATTCTGTCTGTCCCTACTGGGGCACCCCCCACTGGGGTACTAGGGGTCCTTTACCCTCCAGGGCTTAGGCTGCAGAGGTACGTGTTCCCAGTTGTGGTACAGCCAGTGGGTGACTGCAGGCTCAGTCTCTGCATAGGTCTCCTCCACTTGCTTCCAGGAGTGCCTGGTTTATTCACGTTTTCCACTCCGGCTCTTTTTCAGATTGTCCCAGTACTTTCTCTGCTGACCTGTGAGACTCTTGCTCGATTGGCAAGTGTGCTCTGGTAATGGCTGCTCTGAGCCCTTGAGGCTGGTCTCAGTGGCAGGGAGGGTTGCTTTCTCTCAGGTTCTGTGACTTTTTTTTACTTTGGACCCAGAAGGAGCTCTGTTTGTGGACAGTCACAAGGACTTTGGGGAATATGATCTGGAAATGGTTTTCTTTTTTATTTATTTATTTTTTTACAAACCCTTGTGTCGAGGGCTGACTTTCAATAGATCGCAGCAAGGGAGCTGCTCTGCTACGTACGAAACCCCGACCCAGAAGCAGGTCGTCTACGAATGGCTTAGCACCAGGTTCCCCACGAACGTGCGGTGCGTGACGGGCGAGGGGGCGGCCGCCTTTTCGTCCGCGCCCCGTGTCCCGGGACTAAGGGCTCTCCGCCCCGGACCCCAGTCCCGACGCACGGTGGGGCGCGCTGCGCCGCGCCCCGAGGGACCCGGGCGACGGCCCACCGGCGGGGACGGCGGGGGACCGGCTATCCGAGGCCAACCGAGGCATCCGAGGCCAACCGAGGCTTCCGAGGCCAACCGAGGCCAACCAAGGCCCCCGCGGCGCTGCCGTATCGTTCCGCCTGGGCGGGATTCTGATTTAGAGGCATTCAGTCATAATCCCACAGATGGCAGTGGTTTTCTTTTCAGGGGGGCAGTAGATTATTTCTGCCACTTGAAACTCTGGATCTTTATTTTATAGAGGCAGCACTGACTTTTCAGCCAGGAGTGGTAGTTACTGAATGCTAACTACAGCTGTGGTCTCAGGTGAGGCTGGGCTGATAGACATGGAGGCTGCTGGAAAGAGTGCCCATGCGCCCCAACCTGCGCTCCCCTCCCCAGCGTTCCTGCCTCCTGTTGGATCCCTTCTTTACAAAGTTCTGCCTTTTGTTCTTGGTAGTTTGGTTCTTCTAAGTGCAGAGCTCTCAGAAACAACTCCGTGTCACCAGTCCCCACCCACACACACATTTTGTTGCTGGCTGGGGTGGGCACTCAGGACACTCAGTCCCAGGCTGAGGCCACGTGGCTAATGTGGAAGTGATATCCTGACTGACAGCTTCTCTGCCAGGGTACCATGAGGGGGCCCAGGCTGAGCTTTGTAAGAAAAGAAGCCAAAATTCCTTTGGCTATCTTTCCTCACCTCATCTTAGCTGGATTCAGATTCCATTCAAATATTTAAGACAAAGTTGGCAATAGTTTTCTGATAGTGCACGATGGGAGATGTGACCAAACGCTGTCATCTCAGGAAAAAAATTTTAAAAGTCAGAATTTTAATGATACCTAGAAGTTTGTGTGTCTAACCCTGGAACAACTAAAACTATCCCTGGGAGAAGCACTAAAAGCTAGTGTGTTTCTTTTTGTATTTTTGTTTTTCAGGGAATATTTTACTTAGTTATTTAACAAGAAATCAAAAGTAAAGTATAGTTTTAGGATAATCATAGTAAATACTTATTCTGTAGAGCACTTGTAATTAACATCATCCGCAGTCTGTATTTCTTACTTGCTTCTAATATTAAGTCAGTGCTTTTCAAACCTTCCCCCAGAACAGCCATGGTGGCATAGGAAGGTGAAGATACACTTCTCATAGACAGTAGGCACAGTCCAGCATGGTCTGTGACCTCCAGAAGGGGCTCTGTGTTTATCTCTTGGCTCCCCAGCGGTTCTGTCACAGCCTTGGGGAACACTGTGTCTGGTTGATGCTGAGGGGCACAGCCACAGGCCAGGGCGGGGATGAGAAAAGGGAAAGTGCAGGCACAAGTTTTACTGCTCTGAGTACCATGGTAATGTTCTCAGAACTCTGTTTAAGAAAACAAACAAAACCAGACATGTTCCACTGTCTGTCATTATAGAGTAAATGTTTGTACCAGGAGTTATTAAAAATTTAAAGTCACATGTAAAACCACTGTTTCATTTCAGGCCGAGGGGGCCCAGGACCTTCTCAGAGAGTGCCTAAGTCCGGACGTTCCAGCTCCTTGGATGGAGACCACCATGATGGATACCACAGAGATGAACCTTTTGGGGGCCCTCCAGGGAGTGGTACCCCTTCTAGAGGGGGCCGGAGTGGCAGTAACTGGGGTAGAGGGAGTAACATGAACTCTGGCCCACCAAGGCGAGGAGCTTCAAGGGGGGGTGGGAGGGGTCGGTAGAAGTTGGGGCTCAAAACCCCTAGGCCTCTCTGGACAGTATTTAAGAACTTATGGACTTTCCGAGAGAAAGAAAAGGAGACCTGCACCACGTAGCCCTGAACTCGCTCTGGGGCAGCTGAATGCCAGGTGCCCCGAGTGAGGCCTGCAAGACGAAGAGCCTGCTGCTGGCTACCCAGAGGCGCTGGCCTTGTTTGGTCCTGTCCACCCTCACTGCCCGAAATCCCACATGGGTTTGTGAAGATAAAAGCTGGAATCTTTTTTTTTAAGTGTCATGAGACATGGAGCACCTCCACAAATTTAAGTTCATGTCCAATCGAAAATTTGTTTCTATATGTACAGTTGTCAGAGAAAAAACATTAAGTTGTTTTTGTATGAATACAGAATGTGATTTACGCAAGAATTAACAGAAAATAACTAATCGTCAAGTGCTTGCCTTAAGGAAACCTTTAGTTTCCATTGCCTCCAGTCTGCTGAGGGGTGTACCACTACTGCTTACATTTGTGAACATCCTTGATGGGAATCTCTAAGTCATCTAAATTAACTCATTTGTGAATTTTGTTTTTAAACAAATTCTTATCTAGCCATTCTGTCACACTTACTTTTGTAGCATAGTGAAAAATACTTCAAAACTATAATGTGGTTTGAAGTTAGATTCAAAGCCTTATTAGTTAGACCTGCTGTGGCAAATGGAAAATTATACACTGAAGAAAAAAAAATCTGGATGTCCAAGCAGAGGGTCTCCCTTGGCTGCATCTCCTAGTAATTACACCTTAGACTTGAGTTGCTTTTTTCTGATAAGGGGAACTTAACATAAGCTAGGAATCATCTACACATACCTTTTGAATACTGTAAATCATTTCACAAATGGTATTAAGTTGAAAAGGAATGGATCAAAATCTTTCTTAAACCTGTTCTGCAAAATTTAAATAATGTCTTCCTCTTCCACACTAGCTATGTGGAAACACCAGTTTTTAAGGCAGAGGATTTTTCAATTAAAAGTAAGCCAGGAAGGTCTCATCCACAACAGATTCTTTTAGTTTTAAATGAATGGGACATTTGGCCCACTTTGAATTGGAAGCCAAAAGTTCAGTTTGAGATAACCCCAGGATATTTTCTATATTGACCCCTTACTTTGTTTTTATAAAAAGCTTTTTTTTTTCTTCAAAGGACATCCTGTGGTCACCCTCACTACTTTAACTTCAGTTGGGCATTGGAGACAGGTTTATTTGACATATTTAGTGGTGCTGGAAAGTGTCAGTAGTTGCTTAGGAAAGGGATATTGACTTAGTTGGAGTATATAAAAACTCCATTGGTTCTCCATTAATTTAAAAAATGGTAAAAAGCTAAGTTACTTCTGCAGATAAAATGTTTACCACACATACACTGCTTTTTTTTAGGGTGTTAGAACCTAGAGGCTTCAAGAGATTTTCTCTTTACTTTGCAATTTAAAACATCCTATTTATCAGCACCTTGCTCTAAACACACCTTTAGGAGGCTCAAGATTGCTTTAGGTTTGTGGATATTCTTTATTTGCCCTCTACTGGTATAGCTTTAAAAGAAGTTGTAATCAAATTCTAAGAGGATAAAAAGGGATCCAGAGAGCAAAACCATAATAGACAGTTGATTGTTGTTCAGTTGCTAAGTTGTGTCTGACTCTACGATCCTGTGGACTGTAGCATATCAGGCTCCTCTGTCCTCCACTATCTCCCGGAATTTGCTCAATTTCATGTCCGTTGTGTCAATGATGCCATCCAGCCATCTCATCCTGTCGCCCCTTTCTCCTCCCGCCCTCAGTCTTTCCCAGCATCACGGTCTTTTGCAGTACACTGGCTCTTCATATCACATGGCCGAAGTATTGGAGATTCAGCATTAGTTTTTCCAATGAATATTCAGGGTTGATTTCCTTTAGGACAGACTGGTTTAATCTTGCAGTCCAAGGGACTCTCAAGAGTCTTCTCCAGCACCACAACTCAAAAGCATTAATTCTTCAGCACTCAACTTTCTTTATGGTTCAACTCTCACATCCAGACATAACTACTGGAAAAACCATAGCTTTGACTATACAGACCTTTGTCAGCAAAGTGATGTCTGCTTTTTAATATACTGTCTAGGTTTGTCACAGCCTTCCTTCCAAGGAGCAAGTGTCTTTTTGGAGCCTAAGAAAATAAAATCTGTCACTGTTTCCAATTTTCCCCCATCTATTTGCCATGAAGTGATGGGACAGATGCCATGATGTTAATTTTTTGAATGTTGAGTTTAAGCCAGGTTTTTCATGCTCCTCTTTCAACCACATCAGGAAGCTCTTTAGCTCCTCTTCACTTTCTGCTAATGGAGTGGTATCATCTGCATATCTGAGGTTGTTGATATTTCTTCTGGCAATTTTGATTCCAACCTGTGATTCAACCAGTCTGACATTTCACATGATGCTACTCTGCATGAAAGTTAAATCATCAGGGTAACAGTATACAGCCTTAATGAACTCCTTTCTCAATTTTGAATCAGTCTGTTGAATCATGTCCACTTCTAACTGTTGCTTCTTGACCTGCATACAGGTTTCTCAGGAGACAGGTAAGGTGGTCTGGTAGTCCCATCTCTTTAAGAATTTTCCAGTTTGTTGTGATCCTCACAGTAAAGGCTTTAGCGCAGTCAATGAAGCAGAAGTATGTTTTTTCTGGAATTCCCTTGCTTTTTCTATGATCCAGTGAATGTTGGCAATTTGATCTCTGGTTCTTCTGCCTTTTCTACAGATTAGGCTCCTGTTGTTGTTTTTTTTTTCCTGAGACTCATGTGGTAAGAACTTTATCATAAGATTTTAAGGCTTTAACTTCAAAAACACTACCTCAATAAGCAGATAACCAGGTCGCATTTTGAGAATGAATTCATTTAGAGAAAACGGAAAACTCAACATTATTTATTACATAATGTGTATATCTGCATTTTAAATCATCACTGTCAAATTACATACAATATATTGTGCTTTGAATTTTATAAAAACAGATTTCCCAACAGTGAATTCTTGGGAAAATGCTGGAAAAACAATTTTTAAATAGCATCAATATAAAAATGGGCTGAACTCGGTAAAATCTTCAGCCTAAAATTTAGAACTAAAATACAGATTTAACTAGGGGGTAGGAAAAGCAGCCAATGGTACGTTTTCCAGTCAAAAAAATAAATCATTCCCCCAAAACCGTGGATTTGCTTTTACAAACACCGGGTAGTTGTGCCTCTTGAGGTAGGTAAACCTATTAACTGACAGTGGGGAGAAGCAGCCTTCTTTCAAAGTAAGGGGGATGGGAGTAACTCTACTTTAGCGTCCACCTCTTGGAGCAGGGCTTAGGACACTGATCAAGGCCTATAAATACAAATTTTGAGGCTGGAGCAAGAGGCAAAACACTCTTGCCTGACAACCTGTTTAAGCAACGCTAATCCAGTCCCAGGAAACAATTACTTTCAAGTTGTTCTCAACCTTAGCGGAAAAAGGAATCATACGGGAAGCTTAAAAAAAAAAAATACTAATGCCAATCTCCCCCCACCCAGCCCAGAGATTCCAACTGAACTGAGATTTGACTCAAGTAATCATGTGAACTGAGAACCACTGGCATAGAATTAAACCTTAAAAAATAGTTTATTTCCTAGTTAATATGTAGCTAGTGACAAAACGTTGTCTTATTTATGGATTTAACCAGATACTGAGCCCAGTCTTTCTGGCAATAAATTAAGGTAAGTCCTAGACCAAGGTGCTAAATCTAAAAATGAAAATTGGCAACTAGATATGAAAAGCACCTTACATTGCATTAAGATTGGTTAAAAAAGCACATCATAAAATTAGGAATGAAAAACTAGACCTTGTAGAAATCCATGGTTTCCATCCAATAGGATAACTGGATGTGGAATTATCTTCCTGTCTCAGGCGTTTCCTTAGCTGAGTTATGTCCATGGATCTCTTCTGAGCATTTACGTGCACCTTACTGGCTACCATGCTTCTTGGTCCTTGGTTTCCTTATGTAATGCAGAACCAACTGTCCTTTAATCTTATAAGACATCATGTTAACAATTTCACTAAAATAAGAAAAAACTGAGATAAACCGTATTAACTAAAGCACTTGAAAAAATTCCAGTGGCTAAAGTCAGCATTTAATCTGCTAACTCCTATGGATACACTCACGTTGAAGAATAAGGGAAAAAACTTCCAAGAGCGAAAGAAAGCAAATTTACTGGAACTAAGCTACTGTGATCTACCACTGGATTTTTTTAGGTGACAAAATGTGAAAGAGAAATCCGGGAAAATAAGGGCAGTCAATCAAAACGGAAAAGCTATTTTCTCTTTTTTTTTTTTACTGAGTGCAATCTAAGACCACGGTTAACGCAAAAGCAATTTATCACTAATGTTTCATAGCGTACCACCAATTCAAAACAAAATCTGGTTTTCACAGCACTTGCTGCCGAGTGTAGCACAAAATGCTGAAATCGAGGAGCTTCCCAAACTGTTCGTGTCTCAGTTTATAGTTCGCTGGCACAGTAAAGGAGCAGCTTCTACGCTGTGCTGTCTGGGAACGGGCGGGCGCAGTCCTTGGCTTGGCTGGCGCTGGGCCTAGAGCCGGTTCCCCGTGTCCTCTCGATGGCGCATCCTGGGGACGGGCTCCGTGTGGTGTCCCGGGGCCGGAGTCTGCGTCCTTCTGACGGCGCGAGCCGCGGGCCTCAAACGGGGAGTGCCTTGGCGAGGGCGGCGCCTGGGCCCAAGCGCCCGAGCGTGATGCGCAGAGCGGTGCCCGCGCCCCGCGGTAGCACGCCTAGCAACGCGGCCAGCAGTGCGGCCACTTGTGCGCAGGCGCCCAGCGCTGTGAGCAACGTACTCCGCAGACACAGCGCCGCGTATAGCGTCGCGCCTAGCGCGACCACGTAGAGCAGCGCGGGCCGGGAGGGCGCCTCCTCTCCGCGCAGCAGGCGTCCACACGCTGCGCCGCCTCGCAGGAGTGTGCCTCCCGCTAGTGCCAGCGCAGAACCCAGCGACCACAGCAGCGCGAACTTCCGGGCGCGTAGCAGCAGTACAGGCGCGTAGAGTGCGGCCAGGCCGAAGCAGAACGCAGCCAGCAGCAGGCACACGCCACTCGCCATCAGCCGCTGAGTGCGCGTCACGCTGGGCAGACACGTCTGTCCCGCCGCCTGCTCCGCGGGGCTCTGCGTCCACGTCCAGCGCAGGCCCGCGCGGCCCAACCACGCCCCGGCCCCCGCCGCGGGCTCCTTCGCCTCGCCCGCGGCGAGCAGTGGCTCCGCGGCCGCTGGGCCGCCCGCTTTCCCCTGCGCCAGATATTCCTGCAGCTGGCGGTTGAGGTCCGCCATGTTGGATGGAGGCTTCCGCGTAGTTGCGGGGGGCGGGGAGCTGCCGCCCACTTCCGGCTCTACTCAGTCGGCTTTGGAAACTGCCCGGACCTCGGGCTGCTGTTAGTCCGCCGGGACGGAAGGGGCGGGGCTTCTGTTCCGCTGCCTTCGTGGTCTCGGCCGGCACTAGCGCTGGGACCGCGGCTGATCACTGCGTGTAGTTTCTGAATACCTTTCTTCGGTGTCCGCTGTAGGCGCTGACAGAGCTTGGGTGAATTATAACAGCATTAGAAGTTACGGGGCGTGAGCTCTTGTGGCTATGAATGAAAAAAACTTAAGTGTCTTGACTTCATGGATATCAGAATCGTGATTCTGTGCTGTAGTTTTCCAATATTTGGCCATTGGAGGAAAATGGAGAAAGGGTATACCGTCTTAAAACTATGCTGATCTATAATTTCATTTTTTAAGAAGCTCACGCTGCAGGTCATAAGTGGTATCTTTGGGAAAACTACAGAGCTGAAGCAGAGTTAACCGCCCACTCCCGCTGATGTGCTTCTCTTACCCGTTTCAGCATAGGTCTGGCAATATTATTGTTTCAACCCCAGGTCATGTATTTATATTTTTGGCCCACATCGTCATGGTTCTGATACCCCTCTGGGTACAGGTTTCCTGACCCATCAGATAATTCTGAAGCGCTTGTTCATGTCCGGTTAATTTCTAATCTGTTCTGAGGTGGCTCCTACAGCCCTGCTCTTTTTCGAGAACCTCCTTGAAGTTCCTTGGCTTGTTGTGTAGGTCACAGCCATCTGGGTGTCTGCTAGGACTTCTGGTTTCGCTGCTCTGTCTGGTTGTCAGACATTCAGAGTAAGCTGCACGTCTTGTTTACATCTCTCACTTAGGTGCACTTTCTCTGAGTTCTCATCTGTCCCAGTTGTGACAGTTTATTTGTTCAAAGCAGTGCCAGCAGCTTGAGGAAAAGTTCTCTTTCATCTCCCTTTTCTTCGGACCTGGAAGGCTACATCAAAGGCACTCAAACGGATGTTGACCTGATTGTCACAGCTGTCTGAGTGCAGTAAAGGTGTTTTGAAAGCCTTTGTGGATGTAGAAGCCTTTGGCTGAAAAACCCATTTTTTAAGTGTCTATTGTGAATTTAAATATGATGGCATGGAAGTCTTTAGTGATGTAAAGTGCAACCTAGTTAAGTACTACAGCAGTGTATTCTTGTACACGCCTTTTATTTACTTGCCCCAGAAGCACTGGGGATGGGAGGCAGGGCTGAGCGCTGTAGGCTGTTTCTTCTATCGCTGACTTTGGAGGCACTGCAGGAGAAGAGAGGGTGTCTCCCTGTGTCTGTTTTTTTTTTTTTTTTTTTGTCTGTACTAGCTCCCCTCACCTCCTTGGTACTGGCCTCCCCTGCACGACTCTAGCTGATGACTGGTGACCGTCCTTTGTCCTTTATGACAAGATAAGTATTAATGATTTCCTGCTGTTGTCATGTCTGACTTTTCTGTTACTTGTGTAACCAGTTTTCCCATATAAAATTATTCCCTTTAATACTTTGTTTTCCTGGTTGGATCTTGACTGTTGTTACTGAACAAGCAAACTTGATTCCACTTGCCCAATGTGCAGCAAAGCCAATCTGCTGCCCCTGTATTGTGGTGGAGGAAAATATCCTGTTTATTGTAGGGTGCCAAGTGCCTTGCTCACATGACCTGAACTCTCCAGTGGCTTTCAGGGATGGATTTCTGAAACTGAGGGAGAGGGTCACAGGGTGCATGGTCAGCTCATGCACAGTTATCTGATTGGTTGATGGTGAGGTAACTGGGAGTCTCAACTGCCAACTTAAAAAAAGTACAGAGTGTGAGAGTTGTGAAGGAAGTTTTATTTGGGGCAAAATGTGAGGACTATAGCCTGGAAGACAGTATCTCAGATAGCCCTGAGGAACTATTCCAAAGAGGTAGGGTGAAGGTCAATATATATGTGATTTTGCTGAAGGGGAAATATGGAAACAAGCACATATTTTCTTTTTTTTGCAAAAGGTTTCTGCTAGTCATGAGCAGTTGTCACCATTTGAATGCTTTTCTAGATATGAGAAGACACAAGAATTGGGCTCATAAAATTGGCTCCTGAAAATATCTGCCTGAAGACCTGTTCTGCCAGTTTTTCCCAGAGCATAGCCTGCCTCATTTCTGCTCTCCACCCTTAACTCCTTTCAGGGAGTGTTGGAAATCAGCAGCTGCAGCAGCAACTGGTTTAATCCTTGTAGAGGTAGATGGCAATTACCCATGGCAGGTGCCAGTTTGTAGTTGACAGGGCCACTTCATGGTAATAAATTTGATCATGCTTAGAAAGGCACTTTATGACCATTTTGTCCGCTGGTGCTAGAAAGGCTGATTCCTAGGTCTGGCAGAGATTTTGCTGAAAGGCCATTCAATATGCTTTTACTGGACTAGGTCTTATAAACAATAGCTAAAGGTAATCCTGGACTATCTGTCTGGCTAGTCTGTTATAGTCCAGGAAACAATTACCTCTGTAGCATCTTCCTGTATCAAGAATCACACTATTATAGTAATTGATCTCATATAGAACCGTATATTTGATCAGTTGCTTCCAGTTGCCTAGTCAGCATTATATTTGTTGTAAGCTCAGTCACACATTTGGTAATATAAGGAACAATAATCTTGTAAAACAGGCAAAATATAATATAGCTAATGCATTAATATGAGTTAGAAGTAAATATTTAAGCCAAGAACTTCCCATGCCAAGTCAGTTTTTGAAGAGATCATCAAGATGAGGAAGTGGGTCACTTAAGGCAGAAATGTGATTTCTCATATGATTCATTAAATGTGTTAAGAAGATTCATCAGGTATAGGATTCAGTTTGAGTTATGGCACAAGTGCCTCCCTGAGCTGCTGAAAGATGTCAAGTATCATGTGGTTTTCTAGCACCCATTTTTCTCATCATAGAGACATCAGAATTCGGTAGGCTAATAGCCTGGTTCAGTTCATTTCAGTTTGGTTCCTCAGTCGTGTCCGACTCTTTGCAACCCCATGGACTGCAGCACACCAGGCTTCCCTGTCCATCACCAAACCTGGAACTTGCTTAAAGTCATGTCTATCAAGTTGGTGATGGCATCCAACCATCTCATCCTCTTTCATCCCCTTCTCCTCCTGCCTTCAATCTTTCCCAGCATCCGGGTCTTGTCCAGTGAGTCAGTTCTTTGCATCAGGTGGCCAAAATATTGGGAGTCTCAGTTTCAGCATCAGTCCTTCCAATGAATATTAAGGACTGATCTCCTTTAGGATGGACTGGTTGGATCTCCTTGCAGTCCAAGGTACTCTCAAGAGTCTTCTCCAGCACCACCATTCAAAAACGTAAGTTCTTCACCACTCAGCTTTCTTTATGGTCCAACTCTCACATCCACACATGACTACTGGAAAAACCATAGCTTTGACTAGACAGGCCTTTGTTTGTGAAGTAATGTCTCTGCTTTTTAATACGCTGTCTAGGTTGGTCATAGCTTTTCTTCCAAGGAGCAAGCATCTTCTAATTTCATGGTTCTAGTCAACCATGTGTGGTGATTTTGGAGCCCAAAAAAATAAAGTCTGTCACAGTTTCCATTGTTTTCCCCATTTATTTGCCATGAAGTGATGGGACTGGATACCATGATCTTAGTTTTCTGAATGTTGAGCTTTAAGCCAACTTTTTCACTCTCCTCTTTTACTTTCATCAAGAGGCTCTTCAGTTCTTCGCTTTCTGCCATAAGGGTGGCATCATCTGCATATCTGAGGTTACTGATATTCCTCCCGGCAGTCTTGATTCCAGCTTGTGCTTCATCCAGCCCAGCGTTTCTCGTGATGTATTCTGCATATAAGTTAAATAAGCAGGGTGACAAAATGCAGCCTTGACGTACTCCTTTCCTGGTTTGGAACCAGTCTGTTGGTCCATGTCCAGTTCTAACACTTGGTTCTTGACCTACCTACAGATTTCTCAAGAGGCATTGATTATCTGGGTCGTGAAGATCTTTTTTGTACAGTTCTGTGTATTTTTGCCAGCTCTTCTTAATATCTTCTGCTTCAGTTAGGTCCATAGCATTTCTGTCCTTTATTGAGCCCATCTTTGCATGAAATATTCCCTTGGTATCTCTAATTTTCTTGAAGAGATCTCTAGTCTTTAATATTCTATTGTTTTCCTCTTGCAAAAGTATAATTTACCAAATTACTGTAAGTCATAATTAAAGGGGAAGGTTTTCCTTACACTTGGAAAACACAGATTCCAGCTTGTAATTTTTCAGATAGAAACCATAAAAATTATAACCTTATTCACCAGTTCACTCAGTGCTTTTGTTAACATTTTATGAAGCCATCAGATTTTCACTGAAACTCTTTAATTTCTTATGAAGTTCAGCATTATGGTCTGAAAGTCAGAAGCTTTTATTTATCCAAAAACCCTTTCTATAAATGTTCTTGAGGAGGAAGCAGTTTTGCAGAGGCAGTAGAATAAAACCATAACTGTCTATGACAGAAGATTTAAGACATGTTTAAACTCTGATTACAATGCAGTCCAATTGACTAAATTGGTTACTGTTGTAACATACACCACTTAAAGATAGTAACTAGATTTATAACAATATTTTATAGGCCACATCAGAATTTGGGAATTTATATAATTTCTAGAATACCTATATTAATATTCACCATACACTGTAAGATTTATTAAGCATTTGACAATGCTTCCTATGTAATTTAACATACTAAATGAAACTGTTTAATATATCTCTTTGGGATGTGTGAGGGGCCCTTTGAGGCATCCTAAAGTTAGCTAGAGATCAAAGGACTTCATTTAACTTTGATTTAGAAAGTTTTGTCAAAAAAATAAAACTATATCAAAAGGGTTTAGAACACTCAGTCAGATAGGATCATAGTTCACTGTGAGACAGTAGTTATTCACTTAGCCAAAGTATTAATAACAATAAAAGACTTCAAAGGCAAATACAGAACAAATCACTTAAAAGGTAAAGAAGCTTAAAATCTATTATCCAAGGCAGTTCAACATCTTAAGAAGACTTGTCCTCTTAACAAGAGAGAAAAGCTAAGCCAAATTCAAGTGTAGCACCCACTTTTAAAATTTATTTACTTAGATGAATTTATACCTTAGTCCTGACCATACACAGAACTCTTTGTGCGGAGTCCACATTCCACAAAGCTTTTTATCACTTTCTGTATCTATCACTTTATTTTTCCATTCAGAAACAGCCAGCTCTAAGTCAGACCTACTTATTTGTTCCTTAATAAAATGCAGTTTCATTCCTCATGCCTTCTTTACTGAAAATATACTGAAAGTATACTTTGCTACTGTATACAAAAAATATTTTTTCTATTAGCTTTAATTACATTTAAAAATTAGAATCCTCAGGGTTTTTTTTTTCTTCTTTAGATTGGACTATAATTCCTTTAAAATGTTGTGTTAGTTTTTGCTGTACAATGAAGCTAATTACTGTATTGATTTATATTACCTCTTAGACCTCCTCCCACCACACCCCTATTCCAGCTACTTAGGTCATCACAGACCACTGAGCTGAGCTTCGTGGGCATTATAGCAGCTTCCTGCTAGCTAGTTTACTCATGGTAGTGTATATATGTCAATCCCCATCTCTCAATTTGTCCCACCCTCCTCTTCCTCCTACCCCATGTCCATTCTGAATGTCTGTGTCTCTGTTCTTGCCATGAAAAAAGGTTGATCTGTATCATTTTTCTAGATTCCACATATATGCATTAATATATGATATTTGGTTTTTTGTCTTCACTCTGTGACAGACTCTAGGTCCATCCACATCTATACAAATGACTCTTATTTTGTTTCTTTCAGTGGTTTGAGTAATACTCCATTGTATATATGTACCACATCTTTATCTATGTATCTGTCATTGGACATCTAGGTTGCTTCCATGTCCTGGCTATTGTAAACAGTGCTACAGTGAACGGGGGTGGGGGTGGTACATGTGTCCTTTTGAATTGTGGTTTTCTCAGGGTATATGCCCAGTAGTGGGATTGCTGGGTCTTATGGTAGAATCCTCAGCTCTTAAAACCTCAGTTTCTTGTGAAAACTAAGAAGTAAGCAATTATGAACTGATATTTATATCAGCATTCTGTAGTTTGGGGAACATAAATACCAGTGATAATGTCTAAACACATTTGCTTTCTTATAAAGAACATGGCACCAGACATACTCATTAATAGTCCTAAATACTTTTTGTTTTTATATAAAAGGAAGCCAATGTTCAGTAATCAATGT